TACCCCATAAATTCTTGCCATTTTTCTAGGTTTGTTAACAGAATTTTAAAAGTAAATAACTTAGTCTTGTCTGTCTTTGCCTACTAAAGATTCTAACCCATTCTTCTTTAAATTCTCAGAAAAAATTCAAGATCTAGGACCATTATCATCATCTTCATCGTTCTTTCATTTTTGATACTGATTATGTCCTGGACACTATGCTAAGTACCCTGCATATGCAGTCTTTAATTCTCACAATAACTACTACAAAGTTTGATATAACTGTCTTCATTTTACAAATGAGAATACTGAGTCTAAGAGAGAATAAGTACTTGGTCCCAGCTAGTTACTAACAGAACTGGAATTTGAACCAAGCTCTGTCTGTCTCCTCAAGCTATGAATTTTCCATAGACCCTGATACCTACCTCCCTGTGTTCCACCCTTCCCACTCTAGTCAATGTGATTATAAAATAGTGGAAATTCTGAAGATTCTCCTCCTGCTCATCTTTATTGAAACAAAACCTTTAAAAAGACATTTTGGTTAGTACTTGTATGACATGAATATGTACCATATCTTGAGATGATACACTGCTGAATTTCCTTTTTACAAAAAAATAACTTCATGTCAAAAATGTATTATTTGTTTACATTTTAAAAGATAATTTTTTAAGTGTTCAAACCTTGTGATAATTGTACACACCTGTGAGTGCGATAAATTCTATGACTAAGCACTGACACCTTAAGAAAATCTGAGAATTCTATTTGGAATAATTTAAGAAATGTGTAGTATATGCTTAGTTATACTTAGTGCAGCTTAGTTCCACAATGCTTGTGCTTCCTTTATAAGTAATTCTATATTCTTCTTTCTGATATAATTCTACATTATCTAATTCATACTACATTAGTACTTTACTAGCAACTAACTCATGTCTATAAAAAGCAACACCAGATGAGCAAATTCTATCTTAAATTTCTTTGTTGATTGATCTCAGTAGTATAGATTTCTGACTTCTATTCAAAATCCAGATCTGTGTCCTTATTCTCCAGATATGAACCTGCGAGTCTTTTATTCTTTCATTCAAACCTATGATAAGCATAAGTGGTCTGTTAACAGGCCTTTTCTTTCCTTTTTTTAAAAATTTCATTGCGTTTATATCATTGACCTTTGCTTCAAAAGCATTCAACAGTCTTTAACAGAAGGAGACCATGAAAGGGGGTGTTGTAAAGGCTTTATTCTAAAAAGAAGTCACACAGGGAAAGCTTTATATTTGCTGAGTGGTTTAATTCTTATACATGCAGAAATTGGCGATGGGCCATGAGTAACAGGATGGAAAAGCACTTCTAGTGCAGCCTCACAACCAAACTTCCCTCCTCCATTCTATAGTTTTTAAAAAAGAGAAAAAAAGCGCCTTCTTTCCTGTTTTAAAATCTACCTGGGAAAAGTGGAGCATGGTATCCAGACTAGTCAACCACTTTATCAGGATTCAAAAAGCCACACGTGGATTTTTTTTTTTTAAATCAGCAACTAAGGATCATATTCTCCAGGGAGAAAGATCCCTGCTTAAATCAGTCTTTTGAGTGCCCAGAGCAGAATTCTGAAGGGAAAGTCCCCTTACAGGAATAGCAACTACTTTGAGAGCACTGGCTATATTATGATTGTGAGATACTATTAAATGATTAGGTATTCCGAGATAATACCATTTTCTTGTAGGTGGTGGGTTGGGCAAACACTGTCATTAAAAGTAACTATTTATTCTTCTCCATACCAAATAATCTAATGTCTGTAGAGAAATGAGGAGCAGGCATATTTTGATTAACATTTTAAAAGCCTTGGAAATTGGTGAATGAACTGTTGTTAGCCATTCTTTGAAAGGTACATTATATCCTTTATAATTTTCTGATAGTATAGTGAGACTTAAATTGACTGGTTTCTTATTGTGGTCATAAGATATTCTTGAACTTCATATTTGATGAATACAGATTTACTTTGCTAGATCTTTACGTACCTTGGGGTATTCTTTTGTAAGACTGTGCATATTTATGTTTGTGAGATTTTTTCTTTTGTTTCCTTTTTTGCAAAGTTACTTAAGAGATAGGCCTGGTAATGTAAATTTCTGTTGCATATTTAAAATCAATGCTCGTCTTCTATGATCAGTACAAATTTTAATTAAGCTTTAACTAAGCATCAGAATATTTAGGCTTGAATCTCTGAGAACCTTAGACTTTGCTATGCTGCAATTTCTCTTCAAGCAGTTAAGAACTCGCAGCTTTTGTTAAGGAAGACCTGAAATTTACTGACAGTGAGAAAAGAGACCAGGGTTTATTCTGGGCAAGGCAGAAACAGCTCATAATAATAAATGGTGAATTGTGGTGCTTGGAATCTACAGAATGAAGCTGGATACCCAAGTAGGTCTCAAGTTATTTGGCAGGCAAATTTCTTGTGCAAATTTGGAGTCAAACTTAGGGAGAGGTAGGTAGCGTGGTACAGAGGTAATAGTCTGGCTTTGTATAAAGAAACCTGACTTACTAGGTGTGGACAATAACTTTAACCCCTCTGAAATCCCTCAATGGAAAAATGAGGATTATGACCTCTACCCAGTAGAATTATTTTAAGGATTAGAATATATGTTTATTGACATAGGCCCTCAATAAATGATGGCTCATTGTTTTTATCATCATCATCATCATCATCACTCCTGCTTTCAGATGCCTCCATTTTACATTTTCTGTAAAATTATTTGTTAGTCAAGAAATTGCATAACCTAATACACTAGACAGCTTTAAGATAGGAATACAGAGTTTGATAGGTGACTTCTCAGGATACAAGGCTTTGAGATATGTAAAGTATATATTATTTACGTAAGCCTGACTTTCTTTCCCCTCTAGACTGGTTTGGTTTGAGTAAAGCCCTAAAAATATCCCATGTAAAACTGTTTTTCTACTTTTCTACTCCTTTTTGGCATACCCTGGGATAGTGCAGAGAATCGTAAGTGGGAGAGAGAAGTAAACTTCAACTCTAGCTGCTCAAAATAGTTTTTAGGAATAGAGGGCAAAAGCCTCATTATTTAGCCCAGGGGATGCTGATGAACAGAGAGGCACATCTCAAATAATCAAAAAAATAATCTTTAGGTTTGTATACCACAAGTAGAATACACATAGTTGAAAGTTCCTTTACTTCCATTCTGCAAAGTTCAACCCAGAGTTCCAATAACTCTCAAATTTAGAACTTCTATTTTTATTACAGAAATAGGAATATGGGAAGTAGTAGGGGGTTACTTCAGCTGGTATATGTAAGAGCTGTGTAAGTATTAGCAATTTTAGCTTGGGCTCCTGAACTAAAATTAACAACCCCACAGAGACTCATTATTAAGAGCTGAGTCTCTAAAAAAAAAAAACATTAAAAAGAAGTTTTTAATACAACTACATACAACTACAACAAGATAGAACAATACAAGTTCTATCTTGTATTGTCTACCATCCAATATGACTGGTACCAAAATCTACTCAGATGAAGTCTAAAAATTTGAGGTTCAGAATGAGCAAATAAAGAAGGGTCACGTTGTTTGAAAAAAGGGAAAGTACTTTAGCTGTTCTAAGAACCCTAGTGATTAGTGTAGCCTTTCATCTTTCTTTTTCCCTCCCAGTGCTTAACTCTAAAATTCAGTTTGTGTATTTACTGAGCATTTATTTATCAAGTGTATATTAAGTACCTACAACAAACTGGTACTATACTAGACTCGGAGGATACCACGATGGCTAAGATGTGGTCCCTGGACTCAGGAAACTTAGCAAGTAAGATGTATGAAATTAAAATAGTTATAGTACACTATCCCTAGGCTTGTGCTAGGTCTTGAGGATAATTAAAAAATTGCATGATTTGGCCTTCCTCAGATCTTTAACAATCTAACTAGAGAAGTAAGGCTTACGTGTATGAAAAAATATAGAACAGATCATAATTAAGATTAAAATGTATGGTATAGAGAATGTGAAGTCAAGAAGCTAAAAGATCTCTGCAGACCAGTCAGGGAAAAGTTTCATGGAACAAGATGAATCTGAAAGTAGGAGAATTTTTGAGAGGTGAAGAGGAGGAAAGACATTTTAAGAGGGATGATTGTAGGAGAAATAACAATACTAACATATATTTTGAAAGAAAATTTGACAGAAATTGGTGATATATTGGATATGAATGAGTAATTGTAAGAGCCTGGGGTAGAGAGTGAGGAGTTGAAAATCACAAAGATTTAAGTTTCACTGATTGGAGAGAGATGATATTGTTGATGTAATGGACATCTGAGAAAAGAAAATAGGTTAAAAGGAAGAGATGGGTTACTAAATAAAATATTTTTCTTACTTTATACTTTTAGTCTTCTTTTTGGGTTAGCAATCTAGAATTTTTATGTGAATTTAATCCAGAAAGCAATAGAGGTCTCCGTTATAGTCTTATTTACTTAATTGTGAATTCTAGTTTCATTACCAGAAATATGATTTTTAAAAAAGCCTGAACATAAAGTAGAAAATTATATCAAGTTTCCAGCATCTAAATGGGTATTAGTTTTCACATTCATTAAGATCTTGGTATTCATATTCTTCAGCCAGAAGCTAGGTTGGATGAAGGCTAGGTGGTGTCTCTTCTCTTCTCCAGATTGGGCAGGGTGGATGCTGATGGAACTGTGGAATGAGATATAGAAGTGGTACCAGTTCTATGCCCCAGTGCTTAGTAAACAAAGATTTCTAAGCACTGGGAACTTACATTCTCTATGGCTCCAGTATCATTTGTTTTAAACTACCCAAGTGCAGAGGATTAAATTGTCGCGAATGATTAGTGTTAGTACCATGTTAAATGAATTTATATAGTTGTGAAGTTGTTCAACTTCCAATTCAAAATAAAAATCCCTCAATACTTCTAGTTACTAGAATATAGTTGAAACTATTTCTACGTTAAGATCATCTATGATAGAATGTTAGGCAACGAAACTTTAAACTGATTTACTTTTGTTCATTGTCTTTGCCTTTATTTGCAGTTCTGGGAAATGCCAGTGTAAAGTGGGTGTCACTGGCTCTACATGTGATCGATGCCAAGATGGATATTATGACTTTAGTGAGAGTGGCTGCTTGCCCTGCCAATGCAATAATCGGTCTGCCAGTTGTGATGCCGTCACAGGTACACACTTTCCTTAACTTTGTTGTGTAATTAGTCCATTGTTCTTTTCATTTTGAAGTCCTTCATCTATAGGTTGATTCTTCCCAAATAGTTTGTAGGGATCTTTCTCTTCTAAGTAGGGTGTAATAGTTCATAGCAAGCCAAACTCCTACTACAATAACCTGAGAAAAAATACATAAATTTCAAAAATAAAATTGGTTGGAGAGCCGTGGAAGCAAGGAGGACTATATGAACTAAAATTCCAGAAAGGGTAGAACTCTTCCTAAGTAAGCCGATGATCACCAGCCGTTTTGTTTCCAGAGGACATTTGCTGGTTCTGGGTACAGGCTAAGGAGCAGGCTTGGCCCAAGCAAAGGAATTCTTCTTGAGGAAAGAGATACAAGAAGAGCTTTTGGCAATTGTTTGGGGCTTGCATGATTGACTGGAAACTAGAGGAGCCCTATACACAAGGCCAGTTTTCCTATGGGACCTTAGCTGACTGTGCAGGAGATGGGAGGCTGACCCAAAAGGTATAAAGAAATATCTCAGTATTGTGGTGCTTAGAAGACAAAATCTCTTTAGAGTGAGACCACTACAACACATGACCATGTCTCTCTCAAGATGTTACCAGATTCTGAAGGTGCGGAGAGTGGGACCTAGCCTCAAACCACCAAAGAGCAGTACTGAATCTGTTGCAGTCTTTCAGGGCTGAGGAGACACAGGCCTGCTAGGCTCTCAGTCAAAAGCTTTAGAAGGCCTTAACCAACAAATAGTGATGAACCATAGGTGAACTGACTCTTACTAAAATTGCAGTCCATCCTTAACCCATCTCAATTTCTAATTGGATTGAGGTGATCCTCTCATTGTGTCTGCCTAACAGAAGAAAGAGAAATCATCTGTGGTTCTTTTATGCATTGTGTCTGGCATACAATCAAAAATACTAGACAATCCTGAGATAGGAAAATGTGACCTTTAATAAAGAGAAAAAGTAAACAATAGAAGCAGACCCAGAGATGATCCAGATGTTGGAGATAGCAAACAATGCCTTTAAAATAACTAAAATTAATATTTTAAGAAAATAAAGGAAAAACCAGATGATAGGTAAAAAGAGGCAAAATTTCAAGAGAGTTGGAATCTATAAAAAAATCAAAATGACAATCTAGGACTCAAAAATACAACATCTAAAATTAATAACTGATTGTATGGGTTTAACAGCAGATTGTACACACTGAAGACAAAGTTAGTAGACTTGAATACAGCTCAGTTAAAAATATCCAAACTGGGGCCGGCCCCATGGCCTAGTGGTCAAGTTCAGCGTACTCCACTTTGGCAGCCTGGTTTTGGTTCCCAGGAGCGGACCTACACCACTTGGCGGTGGCCATGCTGTGGCAGTGACCCACATACAAAATAGGGGAAGATTGGCACAGATGTTAGCTCAGAGCAAATCTTCTTGAGTAAAAAAAAAAAAAATCCACACTGAAGCACAGAGAAAAAAATGCAATGGAAAGAACAGAGCAGGAAAGGCATGAGGGACACAGCCAAAAGGTCTAACATAAGTGTAATTAGGGATTCAGAAAAGAGAGAGATGTTGAGGCAGAAGCAATATCTGAAGAGATGATGGCCAAGAATTTTCCAAGTTGATGAAAGACATTAACCCACAGATTCAGAAAGTTCAATAAACCCAGGCAGTATAAAAACAAAGAAAAACACATCTAGGCAAACTATTAAAAACTAAAGACAATTAACTTTTCTGATCTTCAGTTTTCCTAAATGTAAGGATTAGAGATACTTCCTTGGAAATTTTTTGTTCCCAACAAAAAAATCAGGGCACACTAGTCTGACAAGTATAAGTGTTTTTATGAGTGCAGGGTAGCAATTTGAAATTGAAAGTACCCTGGAAAAATCTGTATTGAAAACTTATTCTTCATTATAATCCTCTGCTCTATGGTGAAACAAACTGATTTAGAAGAAATTGTGTTTTTTTCTATTACGTCATCTGTTCCTTGCCTACCTGCCAGTTCTGTCTTGTGTTATTCTTGTTTTTGTTTTTTTTTTTTACTGTCTGTGATCCAGTCATACTGGCTTCTATTCCTAAAACAAGCTATGTTCCCTTGTCCTAAGGTTCTCATACATGATCTTTCCTCTGCTTAGAATGGTCTTTCTAATATACTCTACCCCCACCCCTGGCCCCTTTACCTTATTAGACCATATTGTTCCCTCAGGCCTTCAATTAAAGGTTACTCCATTAGAAAGCAGTTCCTGATGCCTCAGGCTAAAGGATGATTCCCGATTATACACTCTCATATACACTTGTATTTTTTTTTTCATAGTACATATCACAGTTTATAATTATATATTTACTTGTGATTATGGGTCGTATTTGGCTTACTCACTACATTGTAAGTTCCATGAGGGCAGGAGCGATATCAGTTTTGTTCACCATTGTACATGATCTCTAGCATGGAGCTTGGCACATAGTAAGTGCTCACTAAATGTTTGTTGAGTAAATGAACAAATGAATGGAAAAACATACAGAAGGAAGATGAATTTCAATCTTGGGTAACGACAGAAATGCTTCATCATACTGAGTTGATTTAAATTGCTCCCTAGATCTTTTATGGTACCAGAAAGCAGTCTACACTGCTGGTTCTCACTTCTGATTGTCCTTGCAGCAGTGAGGTAGCTCTCTTTAACATCAGGTAAATCCCAGCCTGTCCTTGCTCTGGAGATAATTTAAGGCAAAAGAAATCCTTTTGATGGTTACAATTTCTAAAAGCAGCTAGTAGTAGGAGAAATACATGGTTTCTTTGTTTGGAAATATAGTGAAAGTGGAATCCAACATGAAGGAGTGCAAATACTTGATTTAAAACTGCAAGCTTCATATAAAATCAGTCTTTCCTTTTGTCTCAAATGAGATTTTTTCAACAGTGCTGTGATACGGTTGCCCTCTGGTGGCCACTTACTGTTTTTACAGTCCTTATTTTTTCTCACCTCTAATCCTTTTCTATACCTTGTGTTTTAGATTGAAGAAGATTTTTAAAGTAACCTTTTTGTGATAAAACATATTGGGAAAGACATTTTGGAAAGCAATTTGCAATGTGTATCAGAAATCTTAAAAATACATCCTTGATCCAGTAATTCTGTTTCCAGGAATCTATTCTGAGGAAATAATTCTAAACTCATCAAAAGCTTTATGTTCAAAGATGCTCACCAAGGTGGTAGTTATAATTCTAAAAAATTAGACAACCCTATTTCTAATACCAGGGCATGAAGTGAATTATGTTTTCTAGGCAATACATGTGTAAGAGCACAGATAGTGAAATCTTGACTTCACCTTGTACAAGTTACTTATCCTGTTTTTCTCCTAGAAATTTGGGATAATCACGGTAACTGCCTAATAGGTTGTTGTGAAGATTTAATGCAATATATTTATAAAGTGCTTAATACAATGCCTGGCTCATTATAAGCAATCAATAATTGGCAACTATTATTATGTTGTCATTAATATTTTTAAGAGCAATATATAACAACATGAAAGAGTGAAAGGGGCAGGGTATAAAATGACATGTGCCGTTATGTTTAGACTATTTGAAAAGCAAAACCCAAACCTCTACATATAAGGAAAGAGTTGAAGGAAAAGTATTCAAAATCTTATGACAGATTTCTTAGGGTGATTATTTTTTTCTTTTTTCTACTCTCCTATATTTTTCTAGATTTTCTTTATTGAACACACTTTTCCCTTAAAATGGAGATGGGGGACTGTTATTTTTTAAACTAGAGCTTTATGTTCATATAGTCTACTTTTTTAAAAGAATCAAGGCACCTTCATGTATTCATGGTGTCCCATGGAGAGTAACAGCCTCAGCTGCTCAACTGAGTTGACCACTCCTTCACTCCTCCATGACTTTCTTCACTTTAGGATGTCACACACTTTCCTGGGTGTTTTTTTCCCTCCTCAGTCATCTCTGCTGGATCTTCTTTCTGTTCAACTATAAGCACTGGAGTACCTCAGAGCTCAGTCCTTGACCTGTTTGTCTTCTCCATTTATACTCTCCCTAAGTGATCTCACTCTGTCCCCTGGATTTAATTTAAATGCCGCCTGTATATGTGCTGATTATCAGATTTACATTTCCCCCTTGATCTTCACACTCAAAGATCTAACAGTGCCCTTGACATCTTCATTTGAATGCTTTAAAATGCTTTAAAATTGGCATCATAACCCTAACACATCCAAAACAACTCTTTACTTTATCCTATAAGCCAAGCATGCTGTACTCCTAGTGCTCATTTTGGTGACTGGCACCGTTCACCCATTTGCCCAGTCCAATAGCCTAGGAGGAGTCATATTTGATTCCTTCCTGTTCCTTACTGCAAATATCCAATCCATCAGCAAATTCTATCAGCCTAACATTCAACATACACCCTAAATCTGACCACTGTTCATGTCCTTCATTTGTGTCATCCTTGTCTAAGCCACTGTCATCTCCCCAAGCTACTTTGGCACTCTCTGATCTGATCTCTCTGTCTCCTCTCTTGTCTTCTCATCCCCCGACCCCCACCCCACCACAGTCCAGTCTCCACATAACAACCAGAGTGATCTTTTAAAAATGTAAAACCTGATCATGTCATTCCCATGCTTAAACTCTCCAATGGCTTCCCATTCCTCTTGGAATAAAATTCACACTTCTTTCTATGGCCTACATGACTTGACATTTTTTGGCCCTTGCCTTTCTCTCTGACCTTATTTCCTGTTATTCTCTCCCTTGTTCACTTAGGCTGGCCTTCTTTCTGTTTGACAGGTTAAAATTTGCCTTCTGTCTTGTAGAGAGGACCAGGCATTTCTTCCTACAACAAAGTACCTTGCTGTATTGCTGACAGGTTTATATATAAACTATGAAATGGCAAAATAAACAAGGAAAAGGCTTTTTACAGGTGGCGATTTATGTTTTCAAAGCTTTGTCACTGAATTTGGTTGGAAAGGAGCCCTACATTCTTTTCTTTGACCAGTGATTTTCTTGGTTACCCTTACCAGATTTTTTTGATGCTTAGCCAAGGAGCGTGAGATCATCTTCAGGAAACACTCATTCCTTTTTTTCTTTTTTTTTTTTGGATTCACTCCTTTGGCCATCTTTCAGCAAAGAGAATGTGAATTTTAAGGCAGTATTGTTATATTTGGGAGGTTCAGGCAGAGCATAATGGACCAAGTGAAACTTGAGCTAGTTTTTTATATCATTTATCATAAAAGAAAGATCCTCAAATTTTAGATTTTAAAGAGAACTTAGATCGCATCTAGTTGAACGTTCTTAATTTATAAATGAGGAAATTGAAGCATAAAGAGAAAACATTATATCCTACGGAATAGACTTTCACCCTTTGAAGTGTTTACATTACGTTAAATCATTAGCCAGCGCATTACTATCCCATTTTACAGATGAGAAAAGTGAAATTCAGAGAAACTATTTCCTGAAGGTCACGTAGCTGGGAAGAGGTTCAGCTGGGAATGGGACTCAGATCTGACATTAAACACAATACCATTTTTCTTATGCTGTGTTGCCTCCCAGAGGGGAGCTACAGGCTGTTAGAAAAGTAAATTCGCATTATTAATTCCTACTGTATACGGATTTTAAAGATTATGATCTTTATTTTTGTTATAAAAAACAATCTTCAAGTGTCCACATGAAATGTTTTAAAATTGCTTGAGTTCTTGAAATATTTTAAAATATGCATGGTGATATATTTTACAGTGTATTTGTTTTGTAATCAGAAAAAAAATCAAGATAATAAAAATAAAAGTGATACCTGCGCACCAGAGACAATTTGAAAATTCGAGGGGAAAGAAACGCTGAAAGGACTGTTGCCCCTCACAACTGTTGTTAGCATTCCGGTGTGTTTATGTCTGCTCTGTCTTCAATTCACTAATTTTCTCTATGGCTATGTTCCAGGTGCGTGCTGTTTTTAAAGCAGTGTAGAGTGATGAGTTTTTGAGAACTGATGAATTTTATTGTCATACTTGTTTTCATCTTTACTTTTGAGATAAGATATTTACCGTATAGGGTTATTTTTTTCTCATTGACTTCTCATTGCAGAGTATGGCATAAAACAAATAGAAATGAGAAATTCTTCTTGAAAAAAATTTTAAATATTCTAATATAAATAGTTAAAAGAGGGAAATTATATTGTGATAAGCACAAAGCAAAGGCTTAGGGTCTTATCTAGAACAATAAAAGGCCCCAAAATAATAAGCATGTAGGCCCAGTAGCATTGTAGGAGCAAAGTGTTAAAAGTGCAGGGCCGGCCCCGTGGCTTAGTGGTTAAGTGCTCACGCTCCTCTGTTGGCGACCCGGGTTCGGATCCCAGGCGCGCACTGATGCACCGCTTCTCTGACCATGTTGAGGCCATGTCCCACATACAGCAACTAGAAGGCTGTGCAACTATGACATACAACCATCTACTGGGGCTTTGGGGGGAAAAAATTTTTTTTTTTTAAATTTTTAAAAAAAGTGTATATATACATATACACTTATACATACATATATATGTATATATACACACACACAGACACACACCATTTTTTAATAAGAGTAGCAATATGACCTTTTCTTGCCACATTGCAAATGGCAAATGGCATGTTGTTGGAATGCATCTTACCCTAAACATCCATATACTGTTACAGAACTATTAACTTTTTTGAGGTATTTTTATATTAAAGTTTAGAACTTTATGATAACTTTTTTTCTTAAAAATTATTTCCATTGGTCATTTTTAATAGGGAGAGAGCAGATATATATTATACATAATGCAGGTTTTAGCTATTCCAACCTGCAGAGCACTTTGACATTTAAGATTATTTTATTTTTTGAGCCAAAATCTACAGTTTCTTTTTTTTTTTAATAATTTTATTTATTTATTTTTTCCCCCAAAGCCCCAGTAGATAGTTGTATGTCATAGCTGCACATCCTTCTAGTTGATGTATGTGGGACGCGGCCTCAGCATAGCTGGACAAGCAGCGCGCCAGTGCACGCCTGGGATCCGAACCCAGGCCGCCAGCAGTGGAGCGCGCGCACTTAACCGCCAAGCCACGGGGCCGGCCCCTGTTTTTTGAGCCAAAATCTACAGTTTCTTAGCATGTATTTTTCATCTGTTTTTATTGTCACAAAGATACATAGCTAAAGAGGGATCAGGATATAAGAAGATATGGAAAGAAGTCAGTACTTAAAGTCTTTATCACTGTATAAGGAAATACTGCTTTGTTATATATATGAAAAATATCATTATCAGGCCTTACAAAATTATGTGATTAGAAGTGATGATATTTACATGCAAGTTTGATTTAATTCAAAGTTAAGTGTTCTGATGAACTTTTTTTTTTTTTTGGTGAGGAAGATCAGCCCTGAGCTAACATCCATGCCAATCCTCCTCTTTTTTGTGTGTGTGCTGAGGAAGACTGGCCCTGAGCTAACATCCGTGCTGATCTTCCTCCACTTTATGTGGGATGCCACCACAGCATGGCCTGACAAGCGGTGCGTCGGTGCGCGCCCAGGATCCGAACCCCTGGCCTCTAGCAGAGGAGCGTGTGCACTTAACCGCTACACCAGGGGGCCAGCCCCTAGATGAACTTTTGAAGATATCTTTCCCAATAAGTTTGTGAAGTTTTGAGGAATTCTGCTGTAATCACTTAAAAATTGAGATTTGACATGCATGTTAACATCATTTCCATTCTTTGGTTTTTCAAACCTTGTTCCAAGAGTCAGACCATTTTATTTCACAGCCTCCTTCTCTTTCCGCTTTTTTGTAATTATTTCACTAGTAAGGGAAAGAAATCAAATAAAACCGCTTATGAATAGTTTTAACACTGAGCTGTATTTAGTTCATCATGTAAAATTTCATTGTCTTCCTAGATTTCTATGTGGAGTTTACTCAGTTATTTTTGTAACAGTTTTGAGTGTCCCTTTGAATCTCTGTGCCCCCTAAAGAAGGAATGTAAATTACACTGCACTTTTTCGTTTCCCGTTTCAGACGTTATGCTGCTTCAGTGCCTGCAGAATATCCTTACTACTAGGGTACCAAAGGAGTATTATTACAAAACACATAACTTTGCTTGCCTTCTTTCTTTTTATTTTCTTTATTAATTAATTGTTTTCATTCTTATTTTGAATTTTTAAATATAAAAATATATGGAGAATAATATAACAAATACCCATGTACCCACACCTAGAATTAATAAATATTAACATTTTGATATTTTGCTTAATATTTATACATATATAGTTATATATTCGAAATAGAAAATTTCAAATAAAGTTGGAGTTCTCTCTGTTTTCTTCCCTAGTCTTGTTTTTCTCCCTCCCTCCACAGAGACAAACAGAGCATAAAATTCGCCTGTACCCTCTCAGTCCACATTTAATTTTTATGCATCCATGTGCTTAGTGTATTATGTATCTATTTGCTTAGTATTGTGTAGTGTTGTTTTTTAAATTTTACAAAATAAGTAAGTACTCTTTCTGTATGTATCATTCTGCAACTTGGTTTTTTCAACCAATGTTGCTTTTAAGATTTATGTTTGTTTGTACATATAGGTCTAGTTCACTTATTTAACTACAGGATCCCAACTATGAAAATAGTACAATTTTTCTTTTCTTACTAATCTAGGTCTTTAGATTTTTTTTTAATTTTTTCTTTGCAAATAGTGCCCTGCTTTCAGTAGGTAGTCAATCAACAAGGGCTTAGTGCAACTCTACTCATGTACCCAACCTTTCCCTGAACAGCTGACAATCTAGTAGGGGACACAGAACTTGTAGACGTTGCCAGTGTAGAAGTACGACGGGGGAGAAACTGAACTCTGTTCGATTCCTATTGGATAGCTTTTTCTGGTTAACTCGTTAAGGTCTTTTGGTTGCAGGTATGATTTATTTAAAATTACTGTGCTTTCAGAGTAAACCTTTAACTTCTTAAGATAATTTGCTTCTTTTAGGTGCTTGTTTAAACTGCCAGGAAAATAGCAAAGGGGATCACTGTGAAGAATGCGAAGAAGGATTTTATCAGAGTCCTAATGTCACTAAAGAATGTCTTCGCTGCCCTTGTTCAGCAGTGACGTCTACAGGCAGTTGTATCATAGGTAAAGCCTTTCTCTTAATCTTCATTTTTAGAGGAAAAATCAGTGAATCAGTTATCAATAGGTATAAAGTGTGTTGATAAATAAAGTTCTGGATGCTGTAAGTGAAAGGGAGTTATAAAAACAGCAAAGGTTTTTCTTACTAGGAATTTACAATGAAATCCAAATACATATGTGAAATGAGACTTGAGAGAGGGATGAGGAAGATTTTGTTCAAGTCCTGTTTTGTTCCCTCTGTCATGACTAAAGAGGAAGGAATAAAAAAATTATAGGAGTGCCTGACCGTCACAATTATTCAGATTCCTTATATAAGCGTATTCCTTTTCTTCTCTACCTGAATCAGTTCTCTGGATGGCCTCATCGTTCTCACAGTAAACAGGACAAGTAATAATTAAGGTATAGATTATTAGTTTGATTCTATATGTCTCTTAAAGTTGAGAGGAGATACTAGGGAGGGTTTATAAACCTTTTTGAGAACTAGTAGTTGTTTTGCATTTTTAATTGTAGCTTCAGACTGTACTAAATTATATTGGTGTTCTCTCTTTTAGAATTGGGTGAATTGGAACCTAAATGTGTCCAATGTAAAGATGGTTACACAGGCCAGAACTGCAATAAATGTGAAAATGGCTATTACAATTCTGACAGCATCTGTACAGAATGCCAGTGTCATGGCCACGTGGACCCAATTAAAACTCCAAAGATTTGCAAGCCTGAGAGTGGTGAGTGCATCAACTGCCTCAATAACACCACTGGGTTTCGGTGTGAGAACTGCCTAGAAGGTTATGTTCAAGACTACAAGGGAAATTGCATCAAGAAAGGTAAAACTTCACCTGAGGTTGTAAATTAATATCTAAGCCTAGCAGTGAAAATTTCAGGACAGCTACCTTTAGCTCTGTAAAACCTTCCAATCCCACCAGGGGAGTTTTCTGGAAATAGATTTTGATAGATATTTGCCTAAACAGATTTCCTTCCGTTCCTGCTGCTCTCCTGATACTCCAAAGCCAACTCAAGAAATTTGAGGACCAAGACAAAGTCATTGCAGTGTTCTCACATGTTCTCTTCATCTATTTTTATTTTTATGTTAATAATTTAAAAGTCCTACCATTTCTTTTATCCTTTGCTTCCTGTATTCTCATCAATTCCAGTGACCATCACAGGTCTTTTTAAGTAGGGACCTATAATTGGGTTAGAAGTTCCAGCTGAGAAACAAGAGTTCATTCTAGCATCTCCCCTAACTTTGGGCCTAGGTTTTCCCATGTGTGATGGAGGAAATGGTAATAATATTCCTTTTTATTTTTAAAAGAAAATGTTATTCCTATGGCAAAATATTTCTTACAAGGAAGTTCCATAAGGGTTTAGATAAAAATTAAGGATTAGAAATTCAGGATGAGTTAGGGATATTTAGGCTTTATTAGGTCACAGAGAGATTAGACCATGCTCTTCTGCAAACCATTCTTTGATATTCTGACAGATGCTGAGTACTGGGCTGATGGACAGTTAGTCTGTGCCAAGTGTCATCCTTCTGCCGTTTTCTTGATATCCTTATTCTGTTGTGATCAAGGCTAGAAGACTCAGACTGAACCCTGTCACTAGCCTAGAGATTCTGTCACTCAATTCTCTGTCCCATTTGGAGGCATACCTTGTCTATACTTGACTGATAGGACTGTGAAGATTTTTCTGATTAGTTATTAGGTAGTGTAAAACATGCCTCTTTTTAGGATAGATTGATGTGGCTGACTATAGTGATGAAGTATAAGGATAAGACTAATCAGTTTAATGGAGTGCCTACGATGTGCCAAGCACTGTAAACATTAAATGTGATGATTGTGTACAGTACATTATCTCATTTAATCCTTCCCAAGAACTCTGCAAAGTAGATATTATTATTGCCATTTTATAGATGAGGAACCTCAGTTTTAAAATGATTGACTTACTTTTCTATAGCCACACAGTTATACTTGATTCCAAAGCCTTTGGTATTTCCACTGAGCTATGCTACATTAGAAGTACAAAGTATAGTACCTTAATTATAAAATAGCTATAATCTACACAAAGGAAGAATTACTGCACATGAAATTAAAGGAAGGCTGTTTTCTCTCTTGGCTGACATCAACTTTGGACATTTAAATTGTGTTTTTCAGAAGTAACTATAAATATAATTTTTCCTAGTTTGTGTTTGCCTCCTTTGAAGAGAATTTTACCCTTATGAAATGCCATCAAACATGTTGAACTTATTTTAGTTCAAATGATTGTCATTTATCCCTGTCACTTTTAACCAAGTGATTTAGAACTCAGTAGTGACATACTTACTGACTTTGCAGGAATTTGTATGAATCTATCCAAGAGTAAAAAAGGATGGAAAACTCCAGCGTTAGAATTTTCCCAAAGATTTTAATATAGATATATACATTTTGGAGAACAGCCATGGATGTAATAATCTAGCCTTCTAGATTCTGATTCTTTTCACTATATTTCTTTAAAAATTATTTTCAACTTGCATTACTTTAAAGCAGAATATCATGTCAACATCCCATATCAACTTCCACTCCCATGTGTATTTCTTTTATTGTTTCTTAAAACTAGATAATTTTGTCTTTTACATTTCATTCTCTGTTTTTATTTTCAGAAGTTATTGTTCCAACACCTGAAGGTTCTACCATTTTGGTTTCCAATGCCTCTTTGACCACATCAATGCCCACCCCTGTTATAAATAGTACATTTACCCCCACAACCCTGCAGACTATCTTATCAGTAAGCTCTGCTGAAAACAGCACATCAGCTTTAGCTGATGTATCATGGACCCAATTTAACATCATCATTTTGACAGTCATCATCATTGTGGTGGTGTTGCTGATGGGATTTGTGGGAGCTGTATATATGTACCGGGAGTATCAAAACCGGAAACTCAATGCCCCGTTTTGGACCATCGAGCTGAAAGAAGACAATATCAGTTTCAGCAGCTACCATGACAGCATTCCCAATGCAGATGTGTCAGGATTGTTGGAAGATGATGGCAATGAAGTGGCTCCCAATGGGCAGCTGACCCTGACGACACCCATACATAACTACAAAGCCTGAGGAGCTGGAACTGTTCTCCTGGATTGTTAGACCACAGTGCTTACTAAGACAGCATCAGCCCCTGGGCCGGGAAAAGCCTGGGTAGAGTTTGCTGAGAAAGCAAAGACATATAGCGCATCTGAAATTTTCAGGTACAAATTTGTAATGCACTTAGCCTGTTACTCTTAGTTTTCCCGTGAAGATCTGAAGCAGTCACTGTCAATAAGGACTTGAAGTAAAGTGTATTTTTGTACCAAACCACATGGGAGTATAGAAAGGCTGAACCCACAGTGCAGCCCAAATCCACTTTGACATCCAATTAGACTCCTGGGGAAGTGTTCACCTAACCAGCGGAAACAGGATGATGGATGTGGAGGGGGAAAGGACTGCCAGAAGACTTCATCTCCATTCCTGAAACACATTTTTTTTTTAAAGAAAGGTCAGGGATGATATTCATTTTACTGTACTAAAAGACATCATTGAGGAAAAGCTGATGTCTGGGCCATATCACATTAAACAATCTTTATTGTTTCTAGAATAAGGACAGAAAAGTTCTACAAAGATCTTTAGAAGGATTTGAATTTTCCTTCCAGAATTCTTGCTCAATGATAGGATTAAAGCACAGGATAAGCTTCTAATGTTAGAGGAAGGCAACATTTGGGAGCAGGAAGCTGGTGGTCCTCCTTAGGGACTCAGTGTAAATGATCAATTGTCTAAAAATAAGGAATATTCCTGCCTCTAGAGAGATAAGGTGTATATAGTTAATGTAGCATATCTGGTCAACATTGTTATTTGTATCTATCTGTAAAAAAAATCATGTCATATTTTATCATCTAGAATTTATTTGTACAGCAGTTAATGGCGTTGTAAAAAGAGAATATGGGGATTGGTTAAAATACTGTACAATAGATGACAATATTGCTGGAGCTGGGACTCTGGTGAGCATCAGTCATTTTTAGTCCCTCTTTGGACATTGTTGAAATTTATAAGGGGTTGAATGTTTCTAATCTTTCTTTCCCTTTCTCAATCTAAAAGTAGGGTTGTATGTTCTTTGACTTACTATAGATTCAAGCAATAGATTTTGAAGTCAGTGATTGTTAAGCTGGGACACAGGCTCTGCTTTCCAAACTACTCACCTAATTAGACATTAGCCACTCTATACATTTTACATAGGTTAATGCAGAACATATCCTCATTTAAAAATGTGTTTTTTTAATGTAAAAGATAGTCTTCCAAAGGAATTAGAAATATTTTAGTTCCAAAAGAAAAGCCATCATATCACTTGGGATCCCCAGTTTTCATGCCTGTGAAATATTTATATTCTCCCCTCCCCTCCCCACAATACCTCCTGTGTTTGACATTGCCTCTCACTCATATGCCATGAGGTCTGCACCATCTCTCTGCAGTGCTACAGTTATCCTGTTTGCTTCTTGTCTGGTTAGAGGGTAGCTCTGTAGTTGAGTGGGTATAGGTAGTCCTTGCTTTTAGACACAGTTTTTTCCTAGAGGCCATCTACTGTTGCTCTCATCTGTTATGATATTGACAGATTGTGGATTAAGCAAGCCAGGAAAAGCAGCTAGAAGTCACATACAGATATTTATTAGGAGGAAAAGCAAACTTTGAAGTGGTTAGGAAAAAGACAAAGACCTATTAGATTAGACCTAGGAAATGCACGTTGACAACTTTGCCTAACTTCCCCAGAGAAAAACCTAGAATTTGGTCATACCTCTGTAGGAGACCACTAAGTTGTTCTCAAGATTTGGAGATGATGCTCTGGAGGATGTACAGGCAGCTAATCTACTTCTGGTAACCTGAAGTGCTCCGAATATTTGGCCATTGCTCATGAGAGTAGATATTTACATTATATAATATTAAAATTAGTTAATATTTCTATAACCTTTTGCAGTTTGCAAAGTGTCTTTCCGTATGTGTATCCTTTGTTCCTCACCATAGCCCCCTGAAGAAGTAATTGTCGTCCCCATTTTATAGATGAGGTTAAATGCCTTGTTCAAGGCTACACAATATGTCATTATTAGGCTTGGAATCAGGACTCCTAATACTGAAGCACATGTTCTTTCAACTATGTACCAGTGCAGAAATTGCCTAGCCATGGACACAAGAAGGCTGGGAGGAAGAGGCCCATCTTTGAATGTTTTTAATTTTTGTAAGTGCAAGGTGCAATCCAGGGCCATACAGCTATGAAGGACTTTGTGGAAAGAACACAGGAGGAGTACTATCTGAAGGTAGAACTGGTGATAAGAAAATAGAAATACCAGTTTGTGCTTCATTAAAGTGAACTAATCCTTCCAAGCAGGGAGGGAAAACCTGCTTTCCCTAGCAGCTGCCACTTATGTGTGTTAAACTGTGCACTGCATATTCCAAGGAATTCTGCAAAGTGGCATGCCTGCCTTTCTTCCAGATTACAAGCTCCTCAAAGCCAGGGATTGAGGATGTTGAGAAATAAACTCTTGTTAAACAGAAGTTAACCCAGTAGAGAAAGAAGGAGTATTTGTTGGGGTCTTAGAGCCAAAGCCAAATCGTCCAGATTCTGGCCATGTAGAGATTCTTTGAAGTAGACCTTAAAGATATTGCAAAAATTAAATCACAAAGAATGTTTACCTTTAAATACTTATGAACAGTTCCTAGCTCATGTTCTTAATGTTTCCCAATGGAAAATAAAATTAAGGTCTTCATATTTGTTTTAAATGGTATTCTTTTGTGTCCCCTGCTTTCTGCTGGTGGAAATAATTCTGCTCTAAAATATAAATCAATCATGACGTGATCTACCACCAAAATCAGACTAAGAAACTGATATGAAATGCACTACACACCACTCATTCCTCTAAAGGCACGATCCCCGTGAATTATGGCATTCATCCCCAGGATCCCATCAGTCCTTTAGAATGACTAATATTGGAAGAATTTTTGTCTAAGGGTTATAAATGTGTTTATTTTCAGATAAGATGAGTGTGAATCTTATTGATAAATGACAGATACTGCTATTAAGTGATACCTTTATCTTCATTAATTCATTTTAGTAAGCCCTAATGCATTTCTGATGTTTACATGCTCTAGGTAGTGTTGTTAAGTAAGCCTGTCCTCTCTTATTTTCTCCTCCCTCCCTCCACCTTCTAGCTCCGAGGAGTCTCCTATTAATGGAATTTCTCCAGTTACAGAGAAAAATGATAATAAAAACTAAACCTCATTTATACACATTAAGTCCATAGGACCTACTCTTGGGGATACCTGAATTTTAAGAGAGGAGAACAGAGCAGACATGAGATGGGATGAGAGAGATTTTTGGGAGCGGATTTGTAGAAGATTCGAATTATATGGCTACTCTCTAGCCCCAAATTCCCAGGAAAATAGACCTTTAAAGCAATACTCACTGACCGGCTAGTTCATTTTAGTCAGCTGAGTGCCTTCAGGACATTTAGCCCTTCTTTGCTGTTTTGGAGGCAGAGAGCTAAAGCATCAGTCCTTCCTCCTGACAGTCTCAGTTGGGACTGGGCCATAAGGTCACTCACCTTGGTCCTATGTTTTCTGTAGGACACATGGTTAACATAACACCACTTATCATGAACGTTCCCTGGTTCTTATATTTTGAGGTATGTGGGTAGCAGTTGAATTTACACATCTCAAGAAAAGCTCTCTGACAGAAGGTTCAGAGAAGTAAAAAGCAACCCAATATAAGCTGTTAGAGCAAGGAAAGCATTTCTGGCCTCATCCACAGAGAACCTTTGGTCTGTTATGATCTTCTTGATAGTAAGGAGTTTGGGAGCTAAAATGAGTTTGGTGTGTGCAGGGGAGTAATGGAAAGTTAATGCAAGTTTTCTCTTTAACCCTGAGCCAGTGACTATGCCAAGGGGAAAAGCAGGAAGAATACACTGATTCATTTGAAGAAGTCAAATAATATCAAATGGTCTAAAGGTTATGGATCATTAAAATGTCAGTGGTTGAATGATGCTTTTTCAAAGGCAATTGGGAATCTTTCTTACTTGTTAACTTATGCATACACAGTAACAGAGACAGCAGCCCTAGAATGTGAGCCAGGGCTTCAGATCTCAGTTAGTCCAAAAGCTAAATGATTTAAAGTTAAGTTTAATGCTAGGCACAAGCACTCTGTAATACATTAAATTTCAGCACAAGCAATTAGGGAATGTTTCTGAAACATTAAACTTGTATTTATGTCACTAAAATTCTAACAAATTTTAAAAACATGTCTCATACATATGCTGTACTAGGCTTCATGATGCATTTCTAAATTTGTGTATGATTTGAATATATGAAAGAATTTATACAAGAGTGTTATTTAAAATTATTAAAAAATAAATGTATATAATTTGTACCTATTGTAGATTTATTGTTTTACTTTTTTATGTGGTCAGAGTTGTTGGAAGTCTTTTAATATATGTCACAGATCATTTATTTTCAAACCACTTCATGAAAATCTTTGAACCTTTCATTTATTGACCACGTGTTTATTTTAAGAAGTTCCTTTAAAGAATGTTTTCCATTTAGGAAAAAAATATCACATGAAGAAGATTCCCCCTCTTAGAACAAAACAAAACACTCTGGGGAAAAAAAGCATATAGTAACATATATTCTTGTTTGTGTGTTGGTTGTCCCCTATAAGATCCATTGGGATCTCCATGAAAATATTATAGGAAAAACTTGCTGCTTTTGGATTTCTTTTTCATGCATGTACAAAATTTCCTTCCTTTAGTATAAATCTGAAGGGAATTGTGTTCTGTGTGTTTATTAGATAACCCGGAATGATAGTATATCTTTGATTATTTGGGGGTACCCTTGAAGATCCTCTGTGTTGACAAAGGTCAGTGGTGGTTAATGGGATGCCATCTAGAGATCCAAGGATTACTTTGAAAAAGAAAAAATGAGTCAGGCCTTTTTTTGTGCTGAGAGCTTTACAAACCTCAATTGGTTTATTCAAATTCAGTTGGTTGATATTTAAACTTTAAAACCCTGTTTTTCCCTTATTTTCCAGTCACACGAGAAAACAAGTTTTATTATTTATAATCCCACCGTATTTATATATGTGGTTCTATACATGTAGTTCTATGATGTATATGAATTGGGTGTTATTTTAAGGAAATAATAACAGAAATCTAACTAAACAAATTAAAGTTTCAAGAGAAAGTGCTACCAGCTCAAGACAGGGTTGACATAAGGGAAGCCATATTGTAGAAAAGAAGCGCTAATGTAACTGTGAATGACCTCTGACTAACTGACCCAGCTGGATCTGTACCCTCCTGGAGATCTAACTGCTCTGTAAATTTTATGACCCCTGCTTATGCATATACCTCCCAGCTGCGATAAGATGACAACTTTGTTCTTTTGAGTTCCTTAGGAATATGATGACTCCCAAACAGAGAGTCTATGCTGATAGCCATCATCAAGGACAACTAAAGATGAGGGTATAGAGCATTGCTTCGATCTCTGATGCATATCCAGTAAAACCAAAGACTATCAGGAACTAACACCAGATATCGGCCCTCACCCAGAGACCAGATGCCTCTCCCACCCAGAGACCAGCCCCCTGTATAACTGGTCTATAATCTTTGTTCTGTAAGATGGTTTTTTCAGACATTAGTTGGCCATATTCCCTCTTGCTAGCAAGCTGTAATAAAAAGTCCTTTCTCTCCTACCTCCTTGCCTCTTGACTGTTGGCATGTCTTGCAGCAGGCAGATGAACCCTCTTTTTTGGGTGGTAACAATTGTAAATATATATACCAACTTACCACAGCAAAAGGAAATATTGTCAAAAACATTACTTTTATAGTATTCATACTTTTGATGAAAGTCTATCAAGTAAAGACATTTACTAGACTGCATTATCAAAATTGGTTGTATTCATTTTCCATAGGAGTATAAGATGCACATGTTTTTAAAAATTCCACATGCTCCATTATAATTAAATCAGTAACTTCAAAGTAACAATTGTGCTTAGTTACATTAAAAAAGTTAAGCTAAAGTCAAAACAACAAAATGTTTTTCATGAGATGGTGGTATTAGGAGTGGTAACTGACAGACTGAAAAGCAACATTCTAAGTGAATGTTAAAAAATCATAGTTTTATTTATAGGTTTTTCAAGGCAATTTTATGAAGAAATTGTTGTAAGTGTTGTACAGGCTTTCTAATTCTTCCACTTACAAAATGAAAGCCAATGTTAAATTTACAATATGTTGCCTATTTGTATTAATAAGAAGGTTTTAAACTTTGTATGTTGAACAGTGAACTTCAGACAGTTGCAGAAAAAACAGGCAAAATGTTTTCTTTGTATGTAATAAGAGTAGGTTTGGGTAATAAAGGAAGTGTTTGGTAGGAAATCTTCTTTTGTGGTTTCCTTTGTGTTGTCAGACCAACTGCTGAAATCTTACATGTCGCCTTTGTTTTTCTTAATCTCTGTCCCAAATAAGGAAGTCTTAGCCCTCCCTTATGTTCACTACCATTCTGACCCAACCATAGGAAACTCATGTATAATTTCCTACAAGTGCTAGGTTATGTGATGTTCTTCTCTCTTTGCTGGTACTGTTTTGCCTGTCTCTAACATCCTTGAGAATGTTTATTCATTCTTTGCAACCCCTTGATAAAAGAAAGTTGATCAATCCTTA